ATAATTTGTTCGTGGGCTGTTTTCTATTTTTTGTACTACTAACTTGTGTGAGAAAACATTCTCTAAAATGAAGCATACAAAGAATATTTACAGATCTAAGCTAACAGACTGAGTATCTGAAATCTCTTTTAACCCTTTGCACTCGAAGTCTTTCTCGCTCGGGCCAATCAGGGAGTGGAGATGATTTTCCGCTTGCAGTCTTGTGCCTATTTCGCGGGGTACAACAGGTATTCATTGTATAAATTTCATTCGGATTCTGTGCTCGTTATCAGTTCCCAATTTTCTCTCTCTTCTGCTGAATCACTGTCGCTTTCATTTTCACGATTCTATTACATCACCTTACACCTTTTACTTCATCACTATCTTCATCAGTGCTTTCCTTCTCTCTATCGTCAGGTGGTCTATCCATAGACGTAATTTCATTCTTCATCAAAGAAAAATTGAATTCGTCTTCACTTCACCTTTTATTTCAGTGTTATATACATAAACAGCACAGGAAGTGGAAAAAAAAGTCGCAGACTAGCCAGAAAAGCTGCTGGTCCTAGTAAGTTTTAAAATCTCTTTACCACGCAACGAAGACTGAAAATATTTACCATCGCAGACTAACAATTTGTAAACGTACATGAAACTAAAAAAAAGAAGAGAGGGAGGAAACTTTAAAACCGGTCTACGTATAGTCTTTTTAGCCCACGTCCTTTGCCACAGACTCAATTCTGAGTGAAAATGTGAGGAAGTGCCTTCACAATTAGCTTTCAGATTTTAAAAATAGTGTTAGTAATGATTTTAAATTCCTGTTAAAATTAATCAAGTAGAATATATTGGAAATCTAAAGAAGCCATTCTTATGCTCCCACTTTAATGATTTATGGATCTTTTATTTCAATATCACACATTTAATGTCTCAAATAGTACATGAAGTAGAAAATCACGTCGCAGAATAGCCGGAGAAGCTCCTATGTGGTCTTGGTAACTTTTACAGTGTCTTTATGTGAAGCGAAGACTTAAAATATTTACCTTTTTAACTTAGCAATTTGTCGACGTCCGTGAAACGTCCTGAAATAACACTTTTGAACGTAATCGTTTTCTCAAGTTTACTAACTCTTCATTCAGAATGAGAATAGAATAATTCTGCCCTTTCAAGATTAAGTGCTATCGACAAGATTAAAAATTTTCCTTGATTTATATAATTTAAATGCATTCATTATAGTGAATGAATCAAATAAAATATAAATAATTTTCAGATTAAATTCAAGTAATATCTGAGAGTTTATATTATTATTAAAAATGTTCAATTAATTAATACTAAACATTTCGTTTTTAGGGATGGTGTAAAAAAAAACGTTACATATACTGTAACCTATTAATTTATGCATTTTAAATACTTTATAACACTTTCATATTTTCTAAGTATGAATAAAATATGAAATTTAAATCTAATAAAAATTAATTAAACTCCTACTAATATAATAGCCTGCGTAAATGTAATTTTTTTAATAAATATTATCACAAAAATGTAGACACATTGTTGCACATCATTTGTACTTTCACAAATCTATCGAGTGAAAGGTAAGATAATGCAGACAATTAGAGAGGTGGCTTTCAAATTTTGATACTTGCGTTGCAAATGTAACATACTAATATTTCTGTTGCAAATAAAAAAAATTGTAGATTAGTTAAGCTTTAAAAGCCAAAAACTAGAAAAGTAGAATTCCTATTGTCACTTTAAAATATTTCCGAAAACATTCTTTTAATAGTATGCATTTTAAACTAAATTTTTTTAATAGAAAGCTATGCCAATGAAACATTTTAGCTCTAAATTCCTTATAATTTTTATGCTAATTAATTCATTGCTCTTAACAATATCCTTTCGAAAAATGCTTGCAGAAATAAATTATTTTTATTACTATGGGAAAATGCATTTTTGTTACAAAAAGGGAGCTTTCTTTAAAAAACATTTACTTTGAAAATGTGTGTTATAATTAATCCGATGTGAGTACATGTCATAAAATAACATACCCGCACATTTATATTGTTTATTAGCATGCTTTTACATTTAAGAAATTTCACGGAAATCTAATTAAAATCTAAAATTGCAGCAAATTTTGTATATGTTTAGGTGTTTCGAAAATTTCACATAAAAATTAATAAATTCAGAAATTTTAATACAGTATTTTTGTTACATTTAAAATATATTTTCTTTTTATCTTTTACATAATGTTTTGGTTTTTCTTATTGTGATCTTAGTAGAAAAACTTTAAAATGCTTTCATTGTAACTAAATAATTATTAAAAGAGTTTCAAAGGGAATATAACATTTAAATACCTTACTTCTATAGTAAGTGTTTGTAATGTGTAATATTGTAGTATTATTTATATTATTCTAAGGCTGTTCAATAAGACTAATGTCACCTTTGATGTAATACGTGAAGCTTTCAACGATGAAGCATTAGCGAGGGCAAGTTTATTTCGCTGGCATAAAGCTTTTAAGGGAGGCAGGCAACATGTGGAAGATATTGAACGTGAGGGACGACCTTCAACGTCCGTCACAGAGACAATGATTAACACAGCTGCGGTTTCATCAAGGACGACCCAGATACAGTACGTCAGCTACATTGCTCTCTTGAATATTTCTGTAGGAAGTGTTCGCTCAATCATGGCAGAACATTTGCAATTGAAACGTGTTTGTGCGCCATGGATTCCGAAACTGTTGACACCTGAGCAAATGCAGTGGATGTGTGCACAGAATGGAAAGAAAGACTGGAACAAAAAGGCGACAATTTCTTAAAATGCGTCATCAAACGGATGAAGCTTGGTTGTATCAGGTGACAGGTGACGAAGGACGAGGGCGCCTGATGTTTAACATAGGTAAACAGGCATATGCCCCGCGTCCTCCACTATCTAGTGGCAACAACTCCCTGGAGCCTCATCAGGCTGCCTCGGGAGTATATATTTGAATCTTAATGAGAAAGTTACATGTGGCCATACAAGGCGGTTGACATAGTCTTACATTACGCGTGATGTGTATGACATTTGAAAGTTTTAGGATTACAGTGGTTACAGGAAATCTAAAAAAAAAAAAAAAAAAGGGGGGGGGGTGGCATAACAATATAAGACATAATACATATAACAACATTGAATAACCTGAAACACATAACACTTATAACATTTAGACCATACAGTTACACATACAAACACTTAAAATACACAGAAGATACTCACAGACTACTAAGTAGAGTACTAATAATGCATCCATGTGATGCTGTTAGAACATATAATGCTGGGCAGATGTAATACTATGTGACATATAAAAACGTGTAATAAAACTGGTAAGATCACAGGATGCAGAGCAGAGATAAAGCTGCGATACTAGTGAAAACACATGGTGCATGCCAGATATAAAGCACGCGTGTAACATTGCCAGATATAAAGCACGCGCGTATACTAATTAAAAAACACATGATGCAGGGCAGTTTTAAGACAGATAATAACATAAGTTGCAAATAATTATTAGCGATGAACTTTTGGTTTACATATGAAACAGATGGTAGTATATGAGTAATAATACTTATGGGGAGACAATTCATAGTGCATGAACCTAGGCTAACACGTGATAGGAGTACATGATGCAGAGCAAATATGTTAATAGTATATACACATTATACAGAGCAAATATAGAGCTAAATAAAAGACATGATTCAGGGCAACTATAATACTGATAAAAAACACATGACTTTGGGCAGAGATGATGCTATTTAAAAGCACATGATGCAGGACAGAGATAATACTAATGAGAAACACATGATGCAAGCATATTGGCACACATGGTACAGGGCATATGTTATACTATTAATAGAAACTCATGATGCAAAGCAGATATAATACAAATAGGAGCATATGATACAAATAAATATTAGGGTAAACAGTTGGTGTTAGAACATATGAAGTATGTGTGTAGTAATTTTTAATGAGACAGAGAGGAGCCTAGGCGACACATGATGAAACACTGCAGAGCAGGTATGATGCTGGTATATACACATGATGCAGAGCAAATCTAGAGCTAATTAAAAAACGTGACATAGGGCAGATATAATACTAATAGAAATACATGAAAATACATTATGCAGTGCAGTTTAAGTTTCTAATGAACACGTATGATGCAAATCAGATATGAGAAAAAAAAAAAAGGGCCACATGCCGCTGAGCAGGTATAGTACGATTAAAATCATTTGATGCAGGACAGATATGATACTAATAATGAATATACATGATGCAGAACAGATAAATAGCTTATAGGCTCATATGGTACAGAGCATATGTTGTACTAATAGGAACGCATGATGTAAAGTAGATGTAATACAAATGAAAATATTTAATGCAGATAAATATTTTGGGGTAAACAGTTGGTGTTTCAGATAATATGCATATGATAGTATATGTGTAAAAAAAAAAAAAAAAAAAAAAAAAACCTTATGATTAGACAACTCATAGTGCACGAACTTAGGCTGTCATACGATTGAAACACATAATGCAGTGCAAATATGATATTAATGTATATACATGATGCAGAACAAATATAGAGCTAATTAAATGACATGGTGCTGAGTAGATGCAGTACAAGGTGAAGAACGAGTAAATACACTTGGTACAAAGTAAATATGATGCCAATAAATACACATGGTGCAGAGCTGATATGATACTAATAGCAAAGCAGATATAATACGAATAAAAAACACATTGTGCAAATAATATTAAGGTAGACAAAGATACATATGATAGTAAATGAGTAATAAGTGCTAATAGAAACATATGATACAGAGAGCTGATATGATTCTGTGCTTGTATAGAACTAATAAGGACACATGACAGCGTTAAAGTTCATTAAATATTTGCTATTGTGCAAGAGTTCTCAAACCAGTTTAAGTTCTGTTTAGGTATAAGATATAAGGTATGCGTGTGTAAATTGTAGTTTCCTGGATAAATGCAGTGGAAAACCTTATGTTGATTAAATGGGCTGGCAGATATCCTGACCTAGTGCCGCGATAAATTTTATAATTTTACATATTGCATTAATGCTTCCCTTGTGCTTAATTATCAGTCGGTGGTAGGCAGTTATGTTGCTCGTGGGCATGAAAAGATGCATGGTATCTGTCAGAGGGCACCTGAATAGGTAGTGGTCTGGCGTTCCGTCTTCTCCACAGACACAGATGTCTGTATTTGATATCCCATGTCGATGAAAATAAGACGGGAACGGCCCGTGACCTGTTATGTAGTTTACCAAAGGAGCAATGGCGATAAGGCGGTCAGTTGATACCTTTGAAATACGCTCATAGGTGCGCCTCCCTGTTTCCGCATTAGTCCATTCTTCTTGCCATTGTCGTATTGCTTGTCCCTGCAAATGACGCTTTAGATAGGATGGTGGGGCAGGAATATTTATTTCTTGTGCTTCGAGATTGCTTGCAGCATCCTTAGCCAAACGGTCAGCTGCTTCATTTCCCTGGTTGCCATCGTGGGCTTTGACCCAGACCATGGTAATTTTAGTGTGACGATTATGCTGCAGGATGTCTTGCAAGTTAATGATGCTCGGCGATACATGGTGTTGATTCTCTATTGCATTTATTGCTGAAAGGCTGTCCGTGTATATGGTAGCTGCCTGTATATTGTTGTTGAGTATATGCTGAACCGATGCTGTGAGAGCAGTAACTTCCGCCTGAAAGACGCTGTTTTCCGGTTTCAGATGTCCTTTCCATGTGTATTCGGTGTTGGAACCGTCATAGTGTTGGATATTCGGTGTTGGAACCGTCATAGTGTATAAAGGCACTAGCTACTCCAAGTTCATGCTTCGAGCCATCCGTGTATATCTTCGTGAAGGTGTCTCGATGAAGGCAGTTGGATTTAACTGTGCGTATGCCTGTCCCTTTTATTGAGGGATGTGTACGCAATACGTCGCCCCGATGCTCATATTGGACTGGGCTATAGGTAGTGTTTCCAAATGTCGCATCTCGGCGCAAGTGGATCAGTTGGGCATATGCAGATTCCATTAAAGCTTTGATATGCAGTGGTATGATACCAGCTAGTACCTGTGCTGCATTTGTGGCTGTAGTTCGATATGCTTTGGACCCAACCATGAAACAACAAAGTAGTGAATGGAAGCATCCGTCTTCGCCTACTGCCAAGAAAGCAAAAACTGTGAAATCGGCTGGTAAAGTTATGACCATATTTTTTTATTATGAAGGAAAATTATGTATCAACACGCTGTCAAACACGGTAATACCGTAAACAACTCGTCCTACGTCAATGTCCTATGAACAATGGTACAGCACGGTAAGAGGAAACGTCCATTGCTCCGAAATGGCTTCCTATTGCATCATTACAATGCCCGACCACATATTGCTCGTTTCGTACAGGATGTTTTGCAGCAGAACAACGTAGAGATTTTACAGCACCCTCCATACAGTCCTGATCTCAATCCATGCGATTTCTGGCTGCTTCCTGAACTTAAGAAACCATTAGGAGGCAAATTTCGCAAGCAACAAAGAATGTGTAAAGGGTGCGGAGGAGTTTTGAAAAAGCTCTCAAAAAACGGACTTTTACGTTTTTCAGAAGTGGACAGAACGTTGGGATAAATGCATTGCGTGCCGCGGAAATTATTTTGAAAAAGACCATGTAAATGATGAGGATTAAAGGTATTCTGTATTTTTTATAATTTTAGTCTTGTTGAACAGCCCTCGTATGTGTCTGAATGACACACTTCATAGGAAAAAAAATGTGCGGGATTATTTGAAGAACCGATGTCAAAATTTCCAAAAATGCAAACAGCATTTCTGTAAACATTTACCATTCTAAGTTTGTATTTAGCGTATTTAGTTTTAAAATTCAAATTGGCATCTTGATCTCTCATATATTTTATTGAGTTATATATTACATGAGAGAAAACTCATTAAAAATAGTATACATGTGTGTATTTTTGCGAAAGCTGTTTTTATGTAGCTAATTATCTAATTATGTACATGCAAGAAAAGCATACAAATATGTAGATGAATAGTTAATTAAAATTTTAATTGGGTAGCATAGCATTCATTAAGAATTAATTCTAGTTTATTTCCTTAAAAAGGCGCAAAATACAGGGTGATTATAATTAAAGTTTAAGTTTCAAAACGCTATAAAAAAAGAACCACTCATGGAAATGACGTCAAATTTGAAAGGAATGTTATTGAAGAACGCGGAAAGCGTATGGCAGAAGAAAAAATTTAGTTTCAAAAGTTAGCAACAGATGGAGCACTGCAAGCGGAAGAAGACGTAAATTAAAATGTTTCAGTTAAATTTCAGTGTTTATATAAGCCGCCAGGTACCAGGCTGTTTCCTCATTTCGCGTCTCAGACGTTCGCCATGGGTGTTTCACTGCAGGATCGCGTGCTGCTGGTAAAAAGCTGTATTACAAGAATGATGATTGTGCAAGAGTAGCTCTGCAAAAATTCAGGACACTGAAGGGTATAAAAAGAAGGCGTTGGTCCAATGAGTGTCGTAGGTCTAAAGAAAATGATGCAAAAATTCGAAAACGACAGGTTCGTTTGATGTGCAATCTGGTAGAGGGAGAAAACGAGTGCATTCATTCGACGGTAGTTGAAGAAGTGGCCACAGCATTACAGGAGGGGTCGGCCGGCGGTGGTGTGCAACCGTGCAGTGCACGAGGAAATTGCCCGAACATTGGACAGGCCTACGAGCGCACGGTGCTGAAAATTGTACGAAACATCCTGCAATGCTATCCGTACAAAATTGGCCATGTGCAGGAGTTGCTTCCGTCTGACCTGACAGCTAGGGAGACGTTTTGCGTTAGAATTCCTGGCTCGCATGGAAGTGGATAATGAATGGCCGTGGAAAATTTTGTGGACAGATGAAAGCCCATTCCATTTCCATCTGACAGGATACGTGAATACCCAGAATTGTCGAATATGGGCAACAGAAAATCCACTGGCAACGCACCCCGTACCACTTCATCCTGAAAAGGTCACGGTATGGTGTGGCTTTACGGCATCATTCATCCTACAACCATATTTTTTTCGAGCAGACGGGTGCTTCCGGTCCTGTTATCCGCAACCGTCACTGGTCAGAGGTATGCATCGATTTTGCGCAACCACGTGATTCCAGCTCTGCAACAGCGTGGATGTGTGGATGAAATCATTTTTTATGCAAGATGGCTCTCCTCCGCACATTGCACATCCCGTGAAGCAGCTGCTGAGGCGCCATTTCGGAAATGCTCGAATTATCAGCCGTCATTTCCCTACAGCCTGGCCGTCCCGATCGCCTGATCTTACTCTCGTGTGATTCTTCTGGCTGAGGGGATATCTGAAGGATGTGTGTTTCCGTGCTCCAACTGCAAATTTAGCGGAATTAAGGCACGCATTTCGCAACACATTCTGAACATCACCCCGGAGACACTGCGATCCGTTTGTGGAACATGCTGTTTGTCGCTTTCAACTTGTTGCACACAACGGTGGACACCATATTGAACATGTTTTGCGCCAGTCTCGCGACAGTTCCGAACTGCTTTGATGAATGGTTTTTATGCGGTATGTCGCCGCAAAACTCTTGAAACCGATCCCCGATTGTGTCCTTTCTATGTGATATGTACAGTCATGCAAATAAAATTAATTATTCAACAATTCTAATTTGTTCAATGCGTTTTAATGTGTAAACTTCCACCTTAACCCCGTTGTTTTACGAATCATTTCTCGTTTCTCTCGTCGTGATTCTCCCCGCTTACAGCGCCATCTGTTGCTAACTTTTGAAACTAAATTTTTTTCTTCTGCCATACGCTTTCCGCCTTCTTCAATAACATTCCTTTCAAATTTCACATCATTTTCATCAGTGGTTCTTTTTTTATAGCGTTTTGAAAGCTTAAACTTTAATTATAATCACCCTGTATGTCAGTTTTCATAAAATTCTGCTTTGTAATAGATTGTAACTAAATCACTAATTAAACACAATGTAAAGCAATGTAATTTATATATAAAATTATATTAATTTTCAATCATTACTTACCAAGAAGCACTAAATTTTACATTAAGTTCTTGGTAAGTAATTAGCATAATTTAGAGTACAGTTTTTATATATATTCAAATTCTCTTTATTAACAACTTCAAATATGTAAAAACGTTATAGCGATAGCTTAAAATATGTAAAAAACATTGTAATGATAGCTTTTATCTATAATGTTTTTGTATCAGGTTGGTATGAATCAGTGGTATTGTGCAGGCAAGTTTTCACATTATTCAAGCATCAGATGTGCTAATCGCAACCGTAGAATGACAAGGCGAAAACGAATGCAACAACCGGTTTCTCGCTCTCTTCTGCTGCTGGGGTTCAGAGGTGTAGCACGGCTTCTGGCTGTTCCTCTCCTGCCGATGCGATGGCTTTTCCTTGTTTGCTTCTTCCTTGAATGCTGTTTTATAATACTACGGAAATTTTTTTGTAAGATTTTGAATTGAAGGTACAACGTTAGAAAAGATTTCTCCAAAATCGTAGAATATTGCTGCAGTTAATAATTTTTTCCAGCCACATTATTTTTGTAAGAAATCTTTGTGCACACGTGTCTCCTCTTTTCTCGATATAAAAAGAAAAAAATACCATCGTTTATCAAGTATCCTTATTTACTACCTTGAAATTTTGATGGTTCGAATTCCACCAGAACCTTGATTTGTACAGATGTAAGAAGATTGACTTTAACTTTGAGTTCAGCGTTATATTAGTAATGTGCATTACACGTGTTACATGTTACGGGTGTGATTTAGTTTAGATACCTACGTTCGTCTGTCTGGCTAATATCTTCTTATTTAATCTTTAGTGCATATTCAGATATAGTGATGGTAAAGGAAAAATAAAAATAACTGATTTTGTGATATTTGAATTATCATCTTTTGGGGTAAGTTTACTTTGATCTCATATTTTTTTCATAGATCACATATTTCTATTCTCACATTTGTATATATCTATATGTTATTGCATCCACATCGCAATCTAAGTAACTTATCAAATATTGCACGTATGAGTCAAAGTTCAGTTGATATTACAAATAATATCCGTTTTCTGTATCCAACTTTCCAGAACTCTGCATTTTCAAATACAGCTAGCGCGATTTCATGAACGAAATGACAACGAAGATAATGTAGCTGGTAAAGAGGCGAGAACGATGTTTTTGTGTAAAAAGAGATGAGTTCAAGGCATGAAATCGACGCTTTTGAAATAGCTACGAGTAGTAGAATCTCGAGGATATCTGAGGTTTTAAATGCGACAAAATATAACACTTTGTAATGCATGCGCAAAGAAATTGCATTACCGTGTATCGTGCCACCTGTGTTTTAACATTCAGTTTTTGGAGCACTTTTACGCCTCTTCGATGATCTCAACATCAAATTTTGAATTAATCTTCCCGGACACATTTTCTGAAGTCTGGATTTGCATTTTAGCGTAATGTTTTTCACTGCCACTAAGAAGATGTAGATAAGTGATGTAACAAAGTCAAATAATGCAATGGCAGAGAATCCTAGCCACAGTCCCATGTATCCACCAATATGGCTGAAGAGTTCGAAAGGCTGAAACAAAAATTATCAAGTTTAATCGATTATCTGTGGATAAAAAATAGCATTAAAAGAAATTAAAATTTAGATTTACGAAATGCAAATTATTTACATGATGAAGTAGTTATGCCAATGCTCAGGAAAAATATTAGAACGCCATATATATATATATTTAAATAAATGTTTCTTTTTAAAAAAATGTTCTTGGTCTTAGCAAGACCCACTGCGTTTGTTTTCATTTTAATTTAATTTCAGATCTATAAAATTTATAAAGGTTTAATTCTTTAAGCTTGCAGGTCCAGCCCGTACGTTATTGTATAGTTTGACTAATAGCAGACCGCTATTTATTTTATTTTAATTTTAGCTGTACATCGGATTTGCATTTACATTTTTTACACCTTAAAGATTTTTTGGAACAATTCATATTATTTAAAAAAATTTTCGTAACACAAGAGTTTCGATTGCCTGTTTCGGCGAAACGCGTAATGGTGTTAGCTTGGTTCAACGTTTAACTGAAATTTCCCTTGAAAAGCCAGGTTGGAAGTCGAATTGAGCTAATTTACCATTTACCGCTTTATAATTTTTATAATTTTATGTTTTTTATAATTTTATGTTTTTATAATTTTATGTTTATCGATGTGATAACTTTTCACTTATCACATCGATAGGTTTTTACTGTATTTTTTGCCATTCACATGTTTCCAACGATTGATTTTAACTGTGTTTTATTTTCTACATTTTATTTCGCGTGTAGCCTAATTTTTCACCCTTCAATGTCATTGTTTTTTAAAAAATACTGTGTTGAACTATTTCTTGGAGCCACAGCTCCTGGTAACTTTTTGGCGAGCTCACTACAATTTTTTCTTTTTATTATATATATATATATGTCGTATATGTCACAGATATAATATATATATATATATATATATTTGTGAATTTAATTTATGAATTATATATATATATATATATATATATATATATTGTCTGTTTGTGTGTGTGAAAAATAATACATACATGCAATGAAATTGTGGCACGAGATGAAAAGACATGAAAGATTTGATTATGAATGCGGCACAAACTTGCATTAAAATTTTCTGAGAAACAGGTCTTTTCCCGTGGTTCACTGTGAACACAGAATAAAAAAACCATTTAGATTTCTTCATAATTAGAACTGACCAAAGAATGCAAATTCTGAACACTTTTAGAGGCACTGAAATAAGAACACTGAGACGTAAATGCGTAGAAACACTAGTTCTGCAGATACTTGAAGCTTAGAGCATCCATCCATTTTTGAAGAATAAGCAATCGAGCCGGATTAAATTACTTTTATTTATTTTAATTCACTTGTGGTTACAATTCACTTGGCACTCAACTCGTGCCTATTAAAGAACATTTTCAATTTTGATATTATTCCCATAGAAGCGAAAGTAGCAGCGCACACATAATTGCAGAAAGACGTCTGGCCAAGAGGAAAGCTCAATCAAAAATGACGCATCATTTCATAGAAAGAAAAGGAGGGAGTCAGTTTTTAGTTTTGGTTTACAATTTGGTGATTGGTGAAGAGGCATCTGCATTAAGGATTACGTAAGATCGCATGATTAATTTGAAGGCGCAGTTTAGACTTAAGCGCTTTTTTAGGACAGATAGATGAAGTTCTCAAATGAAATAAAAAATAAAAGTGGTTATAGTGAAGGAAATTTAGAAGTTTGCTTTCATATTTTTTACCTTACATATATATATGGGACATCCTCACCCGCACCAAAAGGTGGCGTTTTCGTGACTTGCCGGTTGTTAAAACAGTCGCCACAGTGGAGAAACAGTACGAAAGTACGAAAAGTACATTCGAGAAGGAGCAAGATGACAGGCTCATCATAGATAGCATATGACAAATTCCAGTCTCTCTCGCAGTTTAATTAATTAGAGACAATCTAAGTGCCATGAGAAAGTGTTAAATGTTATTGATTGTACGCAGGCATCAGTTTGTGATCGCATCTCCGTTTTCATCTACCCTGTAGTATCTCAAGCACCCATTTTATATAAACTTCAATAAATGTGTGTGTCTACAAGCTGCATTTCTTCATTAAGAATTTTACGAGATACTCACACACGTACATGTACATGGTAAGCCAAAAGTTTGCTAAAGTTTCAAAAATTCATAGAAAAAGAAGACATTATAAAAAAGACGTGTGGTTTGTATGGAAGGACTCACAAAGTTGGAATTTTTTAACAGCAAAACACTTTTTATTTAAAAATATCACCGGTAGAGAGCGCTGACATGCGAGAAATTCAGCAGAACTACGCAAATTAATCTTCCAATAAAAAACTGCGATACACGAGAATTTCTCCTTCGCTCTCGGAATGCTATCAGTATGCAAAAGACTGTTGGTGGTAATGATGTTTTATTTGAACGGGCAGTCAGCAACTGTTGTGTTGCGGAAATTTCACATGGCTAAAGGACTATATGATGTCCGTTTTCTGTATCCAACTTTCTAGAATTCTGCATTTTCAAATACAGCTAGTGCGATTTCATGAACGAAATGATAACGACGAAAATATAGCTGATAAAGAAGCGAGAACGATGTGTTTGTGTGAAAATAGATAAGTTCAAGGCGTTATTGGACTTGCAAGTGATGTGGTAGCTGTTATGGTTGGCGAAAAATAGAGCTGTAGCAGCTGTGGTTAGTAGAAAAACGAAGAAGCTGTAAAATAAATAATTCATCAGGAAGCACTCTGAGCCCAAAGCAAACAAATGGATGATGTTATAGAAACGATAATTAAACATTAAACTTTATTCTCAGACAAGCCCTGAGTCATTCATAATTTATAGTATTGCTTGAAGAAATAGAGTATAAGTACGGAGAAATGGTGTATTATAACGAAATGGGGTATTTAATATCAAAGAAGTGTATTAAAATGATTTTATAATTTAATAAAGAAACAAAGGTTTCATAAAAAAATATAAACGAGTTACATAATGATAAATGAATAACAAATTTAGCTTTCTGTGTTGATTTAACCTCATATTTAAGTATTCTCAATTAAGAGCTTCAAGAAAAGAATAAATTTATCACTGACATGTGTGCTGTTAAATTTTCCAAATGCAAATAAAGGGGAATACTACTGAAATCAAGACGTTTCGCACATTTTCTTTGTCTTAAATCTCTGTTATTTTCAAATGAAAAATCTCAAGAATTCGGAAGAAAACTAACATTATTACAACAAAGATCTCAAGCTAAATTTAATGATTTGGGGTCCGAATTTAAATTCTTTTCATTACCATTAAACGTTGACGTGAATAATGTAATAGAAATCTACAAATGGAAATAATTAATTTACCGTCTGATCTAAATTTTGTTCAAAGATATAGATCTGATTAAATTTTATTCGTACTTTCAAAACACAAATACCCTCAGTTGAGAATCTTTGCAGTAAAATTAATCATTTTTTAAAGTACACACACACATAAACATATGTTACGGTGAAACACCGAAATCTGGAGAATGTCGACTTTCACCGGTGAATATCAACATTCACATAGCCGCTTGGTGTATGTCCGAAATATTTCCAAATATTTTTATTTCTGACTTCACCGGTGAATGTCGACATTCACCATGTACTAATGGTGAATTTTGAACATATGAGAATATTATATTTCCTTCTCCGTAATTCATTGGCGAAAAAACGCACTTGAGACTGAGAATAAGGAGTTAAGAACATAAGAACTTAAAACACGCAGTACATTCAAAATGAGAAAGGAAAATAATAGAAGTTATAAACTCACCAAATTATGTGATTCAAATCTTATTTATTGCAACAACTTAAACTATTATGACACTCCGAATTGCACAAGAGGCCCTTGCTTTTACAACTGCATTTATTTGCGGAACACTTCCTTTTGGAATGGCAGCGTGTACATATACTCCTCTCTTTTCGACCTACACCAGAGCTAAACTGTGATTGTCGACATACACCGATGAATGCACACAAGAACACACGACATACACACAAGAATGTAAAGAAATATTCGATCTTTCACCGACGTATTGGTGAATGTTGACATTCTCCGGTGAAAGTCGACATTCTCCAATTTCGGTCTTTCACGGTAACATATATACAAAACAAAACTAAGTAATAAGCCAAAAACTAAAAGCTAATGTTTTTTTTTTAACCAGTCCTGCACTATAGCTGCAGGATTGAAGTAAATTAAACTAAAGCATCTAAAGTTAAAATTAAACTGGAATCAAAGCCAGGCAATTCCTCAACAATATTAAAAACTGCAACCTTGGAAGAAAGGAACACTGTATCTAAATATACCGAAATTTAAATGAGAATTCATCAAGAGAACAAACTCGAAAAATAAAAATGCGAAAAGGAAAAAAAAATATACAAAATTAAAAAATATAAAAAGTAATCTTCTTTTACTGAAATCCTTATTCAAAACTCATCGTAACAGATTGAATAGTCCTACAAAAAGTTAAAACTACTTTTTCTTATCACGAGAAATATAACAAAGCGCTGAATTTTTTTCCTCAAGGATATTCGTAGAATATCACAATACCACGCAATATAATCAGTAGCTAAATTTTAAACTGTTTAAACGTTAAATAGAACGCAATTCAAAGCGCAGAGAAAGCAAATCCGAACATCAAATAAGTAAACAACAACAGCTCACATAAACAACAACAACTGGGCTGAGATGTTTTTCTCCGAATTTTTAGCTTTATAAATCAGCTGCGCGAGAGAGTTCTGGCAATTTCTGGAAAGCAAAAAGAGTAGAATTACGGTTACAGTTAACATTGTAGTCAATTACGTTTATTCAAATTAAATATCAATTACTGCGATAAAATTTGATTAAATGTTAAATGCACGTGCTCCTGTATTTTTAGTGTTTCGGCGCAGCTTTCTCTTAAAACTCGTCACGCTCTGTATTGCACGGGGAAATAAAGCAATTGTAATTACAATTCGACTAATATTAGCTAACTAAATACAAAATCCGTAACAATATATATACACACACATATATATAAGAACACACATATACATATATATAAATACGCGTGTATTTTCACGATATATATATGTTACCGTGAAAGACCGAAATTGGAGAATGTCGACTTTCACCGGAGAATGTCAACATTCACCAAATACGTCGGTGAAAGATCGAATATTGCACTACATTCTTGTATATTCGGACCCTCACCGGTGTATGTCGACAATCACAGATATGCTCTGGTGAAAGTCGAAAAGAGAGGTTCATAAAGTGCCATAATAGTTTAAGTTGTTGCAATAAATAAGATTTGAATCACATAATTTAGTAAGTTTTTTATTACTGTTATTTTATTTTCTCATTTAGAACGTACTGTATAATTAAGTAAGTTTTTAACTTCTATTATTTTCCTTTCTCATTTTGAATGTATTGTGTGTTTTAGGTTCTCATGTTCTTAAGTTCTTATTTCAAGTCTCAAGTGCGTTTATTCGCGACTGAATGACGGAGAAGAAAAATAAATATTGTTATATGTTCAACATTCACCATTAGTACATGGTGAATGTAGATATTGACCGGTGTGTAAGTCAGAAATAAGAGTATTTGGAAAAATATTTCGGACATACACCAAGAGACTGTGTGAATGTTGACATTCACCGGTGAAAGTCGACATTCTCCAGATTTCGGTGTTTCACCGTAACATATACATATATATATATATATATAGGAAAGTAGAAAGATAACATGAATAATGAAAGACTTTAGTGGTCAAGAATTTTGCGGATTAAGCTGCAAAATTTAAAATTTTTTTTTAAAGAAGAGGAATGTTTAAAAGCTAATGCTAAAAATAAATTTGACACTGTAGTTTCTGAGCAAAAATGTAACATCATGTAACAATAACAAGCCGTTACGTACCATTGGCTATTGCTTCTTAGCCCACCAGCGGCCGAGCGGTAAAGTCGCTGAACACTGGTAGTTCGGTCCGACGTTCGAATCCCGCGAACGGGCTGGCTGCATGGGCGTTTTCGTGGTTTTCCCCATGTGTAACGTGTATACGAGCCAGTTTCCCTTAGAAAGTCCTCCACGAAAGGCATCCCTCCCCTTAGGCAGATAGCCCTCGTGTGCTTTGCCATAATAATTAAATACACGCTAGTGCTTCTTTATGTTTGTTTCCCCCTTCTACGAAGCTCCACCTTATTGGAGAATTTCAATTACTTTACTTTTCTGGTAGCACTTCTTTAGAATTCTTCTATTTACGGCAACCCTTTGCAGCAATTTTGCTCATTTTAAGTTGAACAGGCAACCGCTTTGGACGCAGGCATGTTTCGTCTTATTTTTGTATTTTTTCTTTGGGTCTTTCAAGACCCATTTCGATTCGTTTTTTATTATGTTTGTTTTAATTCTTCTCCTTATAAAAGTTTATATTCTTACTGCTAGGAGGTGTCTCCTTAAAATTGTGTAATTTTTGTTCTAATAGCTTTTTAGCTATTTATATTATTTGTACATTGACCTAACTAGGCTTTCTTGTATAGCTTTTTCATGCTTAATAGTAAGTTTTACATTTACAATTTAAATTGCAAGCGCGTCGGGAAAAGAAATGATATAATTAAGTTTGATTATTCTGTTAATAAAATTACGTTTATAGTCTCAATTATTATCGTTTGACGAAACGTGCTAAAGCTTAATACGAATTTTGAGCTGCTTTTCCCTTGATAAATCCGGCTTAAACCTCGGGTAGTTGAGCTAATTTGCTATTTGTTGTAAATTTTTGTACATATTTACTGTGTATTTGAAATGTATTTAATTTTTTGCGAGCAGCCTCTTAAAATGTATTGTGTGTTAAAATTTATTAATTTTTTCTCACCCTTTTTGATTTTTAAGTTATCTCGTTTTGTAATTCTTACATTTAGTTTTTACGCGATATCCTTTTACTTCTTGAGTTATTGTTTGTTGTTGTTACATGACGTTACATTTTTGCTCAGGAACTACAGTGTCAAATGTATTTTTTAGCATTAGCTTTTAAACATTCCTCTTCTTTAAAAATACATATATCTATATCTATCTATATATATAAGAATAGATTTTTTTGCAGATCAAAATTGACAAGTCTAACAAAAGTGCCCGATATACATACGACCATCTATAATCCTTGATGAAGATAATTTCCGATACTTTTTGTCCAAGGCTAGAAGCGTTTAACTAGAAATGCCACCAAGTGTCAAGCTCTTATAAACAACTGAGAAGCTTATAACTATTTGCTCAAATATATACATTTTTTGCATGTGTCGATAACAAATTTAGTACATAAAAGAAAGAGAAAAAGTTACAGTTATTTTTCTTAAATTTTGTGCAAGAGATCATTTCTTTGAAAATCTGTTAAGTTTTCATAATTCAGAAATTAAGTTAAAAGTTAGTGATTTATTTGAAATTTAGATTAAAATTTTATTAAAAATATTCTGGCCGTCAGCAGTTATCAGAGACCCACATGCAGTATGAGTATGAGACCACTGAGTTAGAATGTAATCATAAGCAATGAAACCATAAAATGACATAATGTATAATAAAATATAATTACCTGATATTTTGGCTGGTACGAAATTATTTTGACTGGAGGATCCAGATATTTAAACCAAATAACCGCATTTCTAGAACAGAAAGAATGTGTATGAATGCAACCAAATTAAAACAGTTATTACAATACAACTGATAGGTAAGAACTAACAGAAATTTGCAGTTTTTAGTTAAGATCATTTGAAGAAAAAAGGAGATGCCGTACTGGAAAAAAATGGGAAAACACGATTTTTAATCCGAATAAATAAACAGATATTGGATATTTAAAAATTTAAGACGAGGAATACTTCAGCAATGTGTATTTCAGGAAATCATTATGAAATCACTGAAGTGCTCAATATAAGGTTCCTGCTAATGTTTTTGAAACTCAGAAACACTTAAATGAATTTATATTGGCCCAAACTGGAAGAGAAATAAGCAATACGTTAAATTTAAAATTAAACAAAATATAACTTTAATTTTACGTATTTTGAGTAAAACTTGACAGCAATCAGAAATAGTATATTTTTAGCAGCGAAACACGTTTATCCATGTGGAGTTGCTACAAAAACTCCATATATTTCAGACAAAATTCCATATAATTTACAAAATCGTAAAGAACAGGGACCTGTGTATGATCATCCTCAAAAAAATCGAAGGAATTTTATCCACATTCTCCCTTATGTATCATCTTTTGTAAAACAATATAAGATGACGTCCACCTTCTTTTCATTTGCATGCTGATCCAGTCCAGACCGTTAATGCCGCTGCAAGAATCATGAACCTGATGATAAGACCCAAATGATACCTTTACCTATACTTAAACGTTTACCTTACAATTTTATTATTCTTGATTTTTTTCTAATACACTCTGCTTCGATGCTTAGATTCTACATTGAAAAGTACTTATTTTTGGAGTATATTATTATTTATTACATATTATTACTCTTTATTATTTTTTGATTGAAATACAAAATCTGTGCATTTTAATAGTTTAAAAATAGAAATAGCTAGCATTTCAGCTGTTGATTGTTTTTGCGCTTACATACTCATGTTATTTAAAGCTCCATTGGTCGATCTCGGGTTTTCCCCTCCAAAATGTGGCGCTTATATATATGTTACCATTAAAGCGTATAATTCAGTTATTTCATAGAATGACTAGGTATTTCGTGAAATAACTAGACAAGTCAGTTAAAGTACATAATAGATCAAAAATTTCATAATTTACCTAGTTATTATGAAATAACTAATAGTTACTATGAAATAACTAATAGTTAAAGTGAAAAATATACCATTTCAAAGTTACTTTATAAATTAATTGATGATAAATAGTTAAAATCGCTCGAAAAATACATTCTGTCTCTATTGCGGCTGATTATTTGATAAATAATAAGTGTTATGAATTTTATTAGGTATGTTAGCAAATGATTGCTAAACCAGCAAGAAATTGAAGAAATCGGACATCTGGGAACAGTTATTATATGAATAACAAGAAAACTGCTAAACCTTGCTCTATGCTAGAAAGTGTTTATTTGATTTGATTTAACCAGAATATTAAGAATCGTGGCGAAGCATCTTCTGCTACATTTCACGTAACTAATTTTGTACTAGGCCTGCCTGCGGCCGAGCTGTAATAACGCTCAACACTGGCAGTTCGACCATGTATAAAGTTCTATGAAAAGACTTGTTCCATGAGAGTTTTCAGAGTTTACTCTCTGTATAACAGGGAATACGAATCAGTTCCTCTTGGAAAATTCTCCATGAAGGCATAGATAGGTTGCTTTGCCTTTATTAATTAATTAAATCCCATCTATAATGTTTTATTAGCTTGGAAACGGGTACAAGGTTATTTCTGCCTTCCGCTAATGCGAGTCCGGCTCAATAGGGCATCACTAGTTCAAGTACTCAGTAACTATTAATATCATCTTAAAGAATAATAGAGAAGTTGAAGTAACTGATTGACACTTACTAGAAGGTCAGAATCTCAACAAACGGTTCAAGTGCTGATTAAAATTGAGGGAAGAGTTACAACAAGTATTTCGTAGTGGATATTTTAGACCAGATAAAGATGGAGGTCAGTAAGTCAGTAAAAGATCAATTAACACCATGTCGGTGTTAATTCATCTTTTACTGACCATGTCGGTGTTAATTAACACCAATTGACACCATATCGGTGACATGGTGTTAATTGGGCATGGTCATAAAAAGCGATTAAACTGACCACTTGTTAAAGCAATACATCATATTCCGGGCCGTAATGGTAGAGATAGAATTGTACCTGTCAAAACAACATCACGAATATTGTTACAACGAAAGAATCTGTCCATTGGAAATTGTGAGACATCAAGATGTTGCTGAATAAACAAAAGACTTAGCTCGGTCCAAAAGTGTTGAGATACAGGAAACAGCGGAAAATAATATATGCGAACTTCATTAGAATTATTCATGATTCAGCACAGCAGAAAAGTCATGAAAACCAACAGGCAACAAAAAAAGTAAAAGAACTTCCTGAGACTCTAATGAAATCATTTTCAAGTGATGTTGATATTAAAATTCCCAAGAGACTGACTAAACTTAGAAAATTATTATTTGTAAAACATATAATAATATATTTTCAGTAGTA